TGACACAATCTGTATTGTTAAAAGCTCTATATAAATAAAGGTGACTTGACTTGACTAATTGAAAGTTCAGACAGTCTCTAAATTAGTAAAAATATAAATATAATATATAATAATATAAACATATCTAAATATAATTAATTATTTGAAAAAATAAATATATATATATATATATATATATATATATAATTATTTTTAAATATTTACATGTTTGTCTGTATTTGTGTATTTATATGTACACACACATTTATATTATAGACAAGCTTTTATGTTGGATGTGATTTTAATTGCGATTAATCGATTTGACAGCCCTAATAAGAAGTTGAACTCAAAAACTGTTTTACATTTAAGTTCCAAAAACATGAATTTTTCCACACAATCGAAAGACTGTCTAGCAAACAACTTTCCTTCTTCCTCATTGTTCTTTAAATTGATGCGCAAACATATCAATTTCTCCTTTAGTTTTCCTAGAGTAAAAAAAGTCATAACTCTTTTGGAAAACATGATAGCAGTAATATAACATTTGGCAGTAATAATAATAATTATCATTAGCCTAACTATTGGATGTTTTTTGTTTACCAAGTAAAAATCATTCACCTGTTGCATTACTACGTTCTTGAGTGTTTATGTATTTGCAAATATACACTACTATTCCAAATTTGGGGTCAGTAAGATTTATTTATGTAAAGAATACTTTTATTCAGCAAGGATGCATTAAACTGATCAAAAATGACAGTAAAAACATTTATAATGTTACAAAATATTTCTATTTCAAATAAATGCCATTCTTTTAAACTTTTCTAATCATCAATGAATTCATTTTAGAAAAAATTGAAGCAGCACAACTGTTTTCAACACTGATAATTATAAGAAACGTTTCTTGAGCAGCAAATCGGCATATTAGAATGAATTCTGAAGGATCATGTGACACTGAAGACTGGAGTAATGATGCTGAAAATTCAGCTTTGCATCACAGAAGTAATTTACATTTTTACAATATATTTAAACCTAATTTGAAGCAGAATTTTTGGCTGATCATATGCTGAAGTAACATTATTAACACTAATTATTATCACAGTTGAGTTGAAAACTGTTGTGCATTTGTGTATTTGGTGTAATGCAATGTGTTTATGCGGTTTAAGGTTCAAAAAACATTATTGTGACACTGAAGACTGGAGTAATGATGCTGAAAATTCAGCTTTGCATCACAGAAGTAATTTACATTTTTACAATATATTTAAACAATTTTATTTTAAATTATAATAATATTTCACAATTTTACTGTATTTTTTGATCAAATAAATGCAGCCTCGGTGAGCAGAAGAGACTTCATTCAAAAACAAAAAAAATCTCACCAACCCCAATCTTTTTAACAGTAGCGTATTTCTATTATTAACCTCTAAATTAATGTAATTAGACTACATGATCCATGATACATAACTAATCAATATTACTCATCTTTGTTTTAGTCGTTTTGATGCTGGTAGATGAAATAAAGTAAACCAGTCTGGACTTCATTTGCACAAATCAGCTGCTCAACAGTTCTTTTCCCATGATTCTCATTTGCTGCTGCTTCTCAGCTCTGTGTCTCTTAGACAATAGATCAGACTGAATGAAGTGGAGCATGTTGTTCTGGGTTCCTGGACCGGCTCCTAAAGAATTTGGGTCAAACCCTGTTGCGAAGAAACCAATTCACACATACTTTTCCCTTTTTAACATGCACATCGAGCACCTCAAATTTATCAATCGCACCAAGTCGGAACGCAGAACCATATGAATGGATTTCAGATGTTGGCTCCAAGTTTAAGTGAAAGAGAAAATGACATTCACTTTTTCTGCAGAGGGGTTTGATGTGGTTTCTCTCTCCATCTCATGCTTCCCTGCTGGAACACTCTTTACAACAATCTGCCATTGTTTTTGTTCATTATGCAACGTCTGATGTGTCTGTTTGGTTTTGTTTCTTTCTCTCTCCGTCTGTTTATTTTCCCTCTCTCCTGTGCCTTTTCTCTTTCTCTCACAGATGCAAATTTTTCAGTCTCACAGAGACTCCGGAAAATTACACGGTTGTGCTCGATGAGGAGGGATTTAAAGGTAAAATACACACTCACACACACATGAACTGCTGCTGTCCTGAGGCTCTTGTGTTCAGTTGATAATGACACACATTGTCATGGAATATACTGGGAAGTCTATCATTTTATTTATAGTTATGTTGTCACCATATACAATTGTTCCTGGAGATTTATAATCTGGCGTTTCACATTGTACATTCCCCAAACCTGGGCTAACATTCTTATTGCATATTTGCTTGATTGGTTAAATGTAATACCAACAATGTAAATTACTCTTTATTTGAACGATTTATTACTTGAAACCGCACTGAAATGTGAAAAATATGGAAATTTGTGACATGTTTGAACAAGACTTTGAAAAGTTGTTTTTCAAAATTCTGTATGTATTTCAAGCAATAAAACTTTTTTTTCATATTTTATATGTTAATAAAACAGTTTTTGTCTTAAGTAAGCCTAAATTCTTTAAAACCAAATTATTGATCATTTTATTATTTATAGAAAACATTTAATACAAATTATAAATATATTTATTTCAGCTCTGTATAAAAATGTTAGGAGGCGTTTTAGGAAGGCATGGACAAGTCTTAACTTTTATAAAGAATATCTCTTTGGATTTGAGACTTTAGTCTTTGCAACTTTACAGATCTTCTTTATGCACCAAGAGCTTGTAACACTCCAAAGAGAAAGGAAAAATTGAAATCGCATCATATGACCCCTTTAATAATTTTGTGAAATATTTTGTAATTTTTATGCATGTCCTTACTGTCACTTTTGATCAATTTATTCATCAAGGACACATACAAAGTATTTATTTATTTCAAAAGAAAATCTTACTGAACCCAAACTTTAGAAAATTGAAACTTTTCATACTGACTCATATTTTAATTTTTATCATTTTTTTTTGTAAAATTATTGGCAGGGCAAATACAAATCTGAACTACTTGCCCGAACAGACCAGCAGGGAAAAAAAATCCTTGTTGTTGAGCCTTAAAAAGACTAATCCACAAAATCATTACAGTGGGAAATGTCAAGCGAGGTGTATTGACTGCAGAGCATTGATCAGAGGACAGGTGGGACGGTACATTGAGTTCACGACTGTTATTGTAGAGGCTCTCTGTAGCCCTGTCCTCTGCCTCTGACCCAAACAGCTGTTTCCTCTATGCTGTCAAACCCCTGCGACTCTAGAGCAAAAACCGCTTTCCTCTTCTCATAATCCACAGGAAGGTCAAAACAGCTATATAGAAACAACATTTTGGATACAGTGTACGTTTGCAGGTGTTCTGATATGAAAACAACAAGATGTTTTGTCTCATTTTGTCTCAAAATGTATGATTTGAGTTTTTTCAATGCTAGTTTCATTTGCCGTGTTCATCTTCGCAAGGTGTTAATGGGTTATAGAATGACCCTGTTAACTTCTAAACTCTTATACTCTCAAAGTGACAAGCCCGCCTACAAAAACATTTGCAACTTCCTGCTGTAATTCTGTGAATAATTATAGACTCCGGATTTGTTAGTGTTAACAGAATCAGCTTTTAAAGACAACTTGCTGTTTTGCTCTGTGGTTAAGTGTATATAAAGTATATATAAGTCTAATAGGTGTTTTGTTGCATAGTGTATATTTTTGCATTAGGTGAAGAAAATGACAGCTCTTTGCTTGTGCAAAACAGTTCAAAAGTTTGGGGTCAGTTTTTGAAAAAAGTGTCTTGACTGCATTTAGTTGATCAAAAATATTGTGAAATATTGTTACAATTTCAAACAACTGTTTTCTATTTGAATATATTTTAAAATGTAATTTATTCCTGTTATGTCAAAGCTGAATTTTCAGCATCATTACTCTTCAGTGTCACATGATCGTTCAGAAATCATTCTAACATTCTAATTTGCTGCTTTTAAAAAATATTTATTATTGTCAGTGTTGAAAACTGTTGTGCTGCTTAATATTTTTGTGGAAACTGATCCTTTTCAGGATCCCTTTGGTAATTAGAAAGTTTGAAAGAACATCATTTATTTAAAATAGACTTTTTTTGGAAACACTATAAATGTGACCCTGGACCACAAAACCAGTCTTAAGTCGCTGGGGTATATTTGTAGCAATAGCTAAAAATACATTGTATGGGTCAAAATTATCGATTTTTCTTTTATGCCAAAAATCATTAGGATAATAAGTAAAGATCATGTTCCATGAAGATATTTGGTAAATTTCCTACTATAAATATATTAAAACCATTATTTTTGATTAGTAATGTGCATTGCTAAGAACTTCATTCGGACAGCTTTAAAGGGGTCATATGATGCGATTTCAAGTTTTCCTTTCTCTTTGTAGTGTTCCAAGCTGTTCGTGAATAGATAAGATCCCTAAAGTTGCACAGACTAAAGTCTCAAACCCAAAGAGATATTCTTTATAAAAGTTAAGACTCGTCTACATCCTCCTCAAACGCCTCGTTTAAACACGCCCCCAGATGTCTACATCACGATGTGGGAAGATTTGCATAACACCGCCCAAATGTTCACGCAAAGAAAGAAGGCGTAACTTTATTCTCGCTGTTGCCGCCACCGCTCTCAAACTGAATGGAAGCTCCTCTTTCAGTGCAAGGTATTATGAACTACCAGGTGAAAACCACAAGTTTGATCACTTAGAAAAGCAATAGCTCACGGTCACCTCTCCTCAACAAGCAGTTCAAGTCTGTAGAACAAACAGTGCAGGATGAGTTTCTCAGTTGACATTCTCTACTAAAAATGTTTTTGTTTTTTTCTACAAATATGTTGTAAAATGTTAAGGAAATGAACACAGGAAACAGTTTTAAAACTGGTACATTATATTGATACAGTCTCCTGTATGTCCTCTATCACATTCTCTTCCTCCAGAGCTCCAGTCGTCTGAACACTTACAGGTGGAGGGCTCCACTTGGCTCCCGCTCAATGTCGTCTCCAATGGCAACGCCTCCAGCAGCTCACAAGCCGTGGGTGTCACCAAGATCGCCAAATCTGTTATCGCTCCATTGGCCGAGCAACATGTGTCCGTCTTCATGCTCTCCACCTATCAAACCGACTTTATTCTGGTAAGCGAGTCTGCTGTGTTTCTGTGATCACTGACACACACACACATATCTAATTTAAGCATTTCTTCAGCAACATTTCTAGAAATACTTGGATGTGTGTAAACTGCGGCGAATGCTGGTGGTTTTCCCGCAGAATTGGGCTACTTTAACACTGTTGCCGCGGGTTGAAGCGACCCCAGTAATGTGTATTTTACCCCCTGGAAGGTTATTTTTACCGGGGGACCCCCTCGAAATGCGATTGGGCTAGATTTGGGCTAGTTTTGAGTATTTTGTTGTGAAAACCTTGCAACCCTGAATGCTGGAAGTATTGTGTCAGTGAATTAGGGCTGCTATAGATAACTAAAGCTAAGAAAAAATGCCACGACTTAAAATAAATGTTAGCTGCAATATAATACAAAAAACAATAAAATGACAAAATCATGTAACACAAAAATTATTAAACTTTAGCTAAAATTGAAAACGGAAAATATAAAAAATCTAATTGAAAAGTTTGATAGTATATCATTGATACTAAAATAACACTGTAATGAATAACCATAATATTTTATGTAATTAGATCCTGAATAATGATAGTCAAGCGGGAGAAGTTGGAGCTTTCATAAAATTTGAGTTTGTTGAAAACATGAACAGCTTTTTTTTTTGTGAGAAATTGATATTTATGGTAATTCTGATATGACATAAATGCAGCAGTATTCTTTTCTTAATATTATGTTATTTTTATTAATTTTTTTTTGTTAAAACTAGTTTTGTGTTGTTTAACTAAGCAAAGAAAGCAACAAACAGATGTGGAGCTGGCGGACATTTGGCTGAACCTAGAAACACAGAACAGTGTTAATAAATAAAGTATTAAGGAAACAGCAGCATGAACATGCGCTAACATCAAACACACCTGCCTGTTGTAAATGTTTTACATTTTCATGACCCTTTTGTTTTAATAAATTGGTAGATGTGTAATGAAAGTTGTGTAATGTTGATTGGCCTTTGTGCATTATATTTTCAAGGGCAGTGATGCTTTTGTAATAAGCTAATTTACAGTTTTGCTAATACCTATAGAGCTGTGTGGGACAGAATCTATATTTTATCCTTGTTTAAAAACTTACTTTTATTTATTTATTTATTTTGTCTTTCTAGGCTGCTTGTCCAATTTGCATGACGTTTTGTTTGTAAAAATATCTGATTAAATAACCAGTTAAAGTGTGCAATGAAACTGTGGCCTAATACTGACTAATTGAATAATATTTCTTGAATGCAAAGTATTTCTTGAATTTTGTGCAAGGAATCCACACCAAATAGTCACCCACAGGGGGTGCTACAACAACAACAAAAAACATTCATAACTGTTTGATTAATATATTTGCATTTGTGGTGGTGTTGTTTGGTAACAAGTGCTGCTAACAAAAATAAAAAATGCAGTAACAAAATAAAAGTAAAGTACAGAACAAACATGACCACCTCAGGGAGTGCCGTTAGGTGATTTGTATAAAACTGTATGTTATTAACATACTAAATGGGATGTTTGTGTTGTAGGTGCGAGAGAAGGACCTGTCGGTGGTGGTGGAGACTCTGTTGGAGGAGTTTAATATTTTCAGAGAGGAGGGAGGAGAGTCAGTGCCTGTCCACAGTCAGGACGCCTGCAACGGCCTTCAGCGAAACGGCAGAGAGGGTGAGACCGCAGTGTAAGAAAGGCATAGGCCTATACACTACCAAAAAATGTTTGGGGTCGGTATGAAGTCTCTCCAAGGCTGCATATATTTAATAAAAATACAGTAAAAAGAGCAATGTTGTGTTATATTATTGCAATTTCAAATAGCCATTTTCTAATTGAATATATTTTAAAATGTATTTATTTCTGTGATCAAATCTGAATTTTCAGCATCATTTACTCAATCTTCAGTGTCACATGATCCTTCAGAAATCATTCTAATATGATGATTTACTGCTCAAGAAACTTTTCTTCTTATTATTATTATTATTATTATTATCAGTGTTGAAAGCCATGATATTTTTTTCCAGGATTCTTTAATGAATAGAAGGTTCATAGATGAACAGCATTTATTTGAAACAGAATTTTTTTGCAACAATATAAGATGTCACTTTTGATCAGTTTAATGTATCCTTGCTGAATAAGTGTTAATTCTTTAAAAAAAAAAAAATTACTGACCCACAACTAATGTAATGGCTTTTTGAAAAGGCCATAATATGCTAAATAATGAAATAATTTTTTTTTTTAGGATTGTCCATTATACTATGAATACACTACTAGGCTATCTGATTGTATTAACACGTTGTAGTGTGTTATAATTGATTATTTTTCCAGTGTTTTGCATCGACACATTATTAAATTCAATACCAGCTCATGCACGATACAAGTAGTAGTAGTCCAAGTAATAGTATTGTTTTTCCCATTTTAAAGCGTTATTGTGTGTGCGTGTGTGTGTGTGTGTGTTCAGGTCCACATGCAACAGTTCATCCGGTGCTGATTCCGGAGAATCAATTTTGTGTAATGAGCTTGGATCCGGACACACTGCCAACGATCGCCACCACCCTCATAGACGTTCTGTTTTACTCTAACAGGTATGAAAGATGCTGCTGCAAACTCGTGCAGTGATGCTGTCTGCATCTCAGTTTTGTTTTGACTTTTGTTTTTCCTCTTCAGCAACACCCTTAGCTGAACAATACTGTTTTAATATTTCACTGCCACTAAGAGGCATCTTGAACCAGATCACAGTTTATCACACACTACACTGTAGGGGAAAAATGGGGTGAACTATGTCGCTTTTTTTATACAACTTGTTTACTCAGTAGGAAGAAATAAGAGGTAAAACTGTTAATTCTAATTAAGAGCGTCTCTTATAAATTGCAATTAAAATATTTTTTGGGTGTGCAGTTATTTCCCTATGCATGTTCAGTTGTAACAATTGTGTTTGTTTTCTCCTGCAGTCCTAAAGAGGGCGCCAGTGTTGATCAGGACATGGAATGTATCAAGTTCTTCTCCTTTTCTCTGATTGATGGATACGTCTCTTTGGTGATGGACACAGAAGCACAGAGACAGTAAGACCCTCACATAGTAGTGGACAGGTCATCATATCAAAGCTTTGCAAATTGCAGATTTAAATATGAAATATGTGTGTGTGTGTGTGTGTGTGTGTGTCAGATTCCCCGCTGATCTTCTGTTCACCAGCTCCTCTGGTGAGCTCTGGAGGATGGTGAGAATAGGAGGGCAGCCTCTCGGTTTCGGTGAGCTTCATTCACCATCAGATACCTTCTTTTGGTCATTTGAATGCAGCATGTATCATTTAGCCATGCCAGAATGTATTGCAGCGAGCTCAGTGAAAGGAAAAAAAAGGAATAAAAAAAAAAAAGATTATAAATATACTTACAATTCGTTCAGCATTACAAGGTATCAATAAAAAATGTGATCTTTTAAGGTTACAGGATTACATGTACTTACATGTTAATAACAGTAAATTATGCACAATTACAAATATAAACCAAACCCTAAACTTAACCCTAATTAATAAATGTTACTCAGTGCTTTATGTATTTAAATGTTCATATTATCTTATATTTAATGTATTATTCATATTATTTTAATGTAATTTGGTCCTTATTCTAATAATTTAATTTTAATAATTAAAATATTTTTTTATATTAAATAAAAGGTCATTTAATTTAAATAAAATGATTGAATAACCAATATTTGTGTGTGATTTATGCACTTTTATTATTTTTAGAGTCACGAAGAAAATAACAAAACGCTTACTAAAAAAGATTTAATGTTTTATTTGTTTACATGCTTACCATGTGACCGTTAACCAACATTAGAGAACCATGAACATGCAAATGTGTTGTTAAATTATTGAAATAATAACTTGAGATTCAAGGGAGACATCAAGTAAATATTTTACTTCAGAGAGGTTCAGCTGACAAAAAAAGTTAGGGAATTCCTGGCCTACTTGAGTCTCCCATGTACATTTTGGAGCATTTTTTTGGTTTGTCACATAGCTGCTGACTATGTGACGTGACATGAGTGTCATGACATGTGGCCAAGTATGGTGACCCATACTTGGAATTAGTGCTCAGCTTCTGTTGCAGTTAGGATGCATATGTATTGTATATATGAATAGCTCCTTTAATGTTTTTCTGTCTTATCCAATCATTAGTCCATACAACAGTGAAATCTGTTCAGCTGAGTGATAGATGAGTGAACAAACACATCAGATTAAATCGGAAAGTCACATCTCTCCCACTTATTTGCCGTTATCTCACTCTTTTTTTTTTTATTTTGCCCCCTTTTTAGCTCTGTCTAGTAGTTGACGGGGCATTAATAATGTACTGCAAAAACCACATCAAATGCAATGAGTGCACAGGTTCAAGGTAATAAAAGTCCCTGATCACCCTGTGTGCGTTTATTTTGCGATAATGATCTGCTGACATTTAGTCTGTAGAGGTTATGTGTCTAGTCTACCGCATTTATATTTAGTACATTTTGAATCATTTTTGATATTTGTGTGACACTGAGCAACAGGAGGATAGATGGGCAAATGGTTGCCTAGTAACCAGGAAACAGAAAAATTCCAGAATATGATCTGATTGGACGATTTTCGCAACACCGCCGCCTCTGTTTATTTCCATGATGTCATGTGAAATCAGATCATCTGGTTGTCCTTGCTTCCTATTCCTTTCCTTTTTTCCTGGAAACCGTCAAGTATTTTAGCAGAAACTGTTTGGTTCCCTATTGAGTAAGTTAAGTTGTTCTTACTCCTCATTAGATCATCGTTATCATTTAATATTCAAATGTGCTGTCTTACAAGTCTCTCTGGAATACTTGCTTCTGATTGGTGAATCACAACATTGTGCATGGAAAGTCAAATATTTTTGTAGATTAGTAGTATATCGCAGTTCAAATCGCAATCACAACATATGACAAAATAAGCGCAATATTTTTTGGCCAAGTCGTGCAGCCCTATATAGGCTTATGTATACACAGTGCTGGGTAGATTACTTACAAATTGTAGTCCATTATTGATGTAAAAATTGTAGCTGGTAAACTAATCTATCAGTTTACACATTTTAGATAATGTATTCGGATTACTTTTGACCAAACGTATTTACCACATAGTTTTGAATAGGAATGTTTTGTACCATGTTGATATAAAAATAGAAAGAGAAATAAAATGTATTTTATCCTAATTTATATCCTAAAATGTATTCTGAATTTCATTAAAGGTCAGTCTGGGATTTGTTAAAGGGGTCATATGATGCTTTTTTAAAGATCATTATTTGGTGTATTTGGTGTAACAGAATATGTTGACATGCTTTAATGTTCAAAAAACACATTATTTTTCAAATACTGTACATTATTGTAGGTCCTCTATGCCCCGCCTCTCTCAAACGTTTCGTTTTCTACAAAGTCCCTCCTTCCGACAAGCGCAGTCTGCTCTGATTGGCCAGCTGACCCAGTGCATTGTGATTGGCCGAACACCGCAAGCACTCGTTGGAAATGCAACGCGCCTTACCATAATCACGAGCTTCATCTTTCAAAATAAATGTAAAGACCATATGACCCCTTTAAAAAACTGCAGGGGGTAGTTGATGAAAAGCGAATCATCATATCAATCATAAATCATAAACGTGTTAACATAAAAAAAAAACTTTTAAATAAAAGCAAAATAAAAAATAGAAATATTTTTTGTTTACCTGCATGTCATTGTGATTATTAACTGACATTTAGTCTCAGCCTCAGACGTCACGCCCACGGACCGTTGGCTAAACGTCTGATGCATATGGCACACAAAAGTGGAAACACTTCAGGAGTTTCGAAGTCGTCGTCGGATTGGTTGAATTAGACAGGATTTCCGGTAGACGTGCGTGGTCGCGTTCTTTAACGTTCCACCTGGAAACAAAGATGCCGTGACGCCAAACCCCCTCACGAAAGAAGAAAGCCGTCGTGTTTACAACTGTTACGACGAGCGCTTATCAGGATCAACTAAACGCTGGATTATATTTAAAAAATATTTAAAGTTCGCGGCATAGATATTTAAAATACGTCCGAGAGTTTTAGACACCGGTCTGTTATTGTGGCGACATTTCCACGCCCCGAAACGTGACGACGAATGAAACGAACTGTGATTGGTTGTTTGACATGTCGGTCAAACGGCCTCATGGGCGGGCCTTGGCCAATGAAAGCTGCCATGGATTCCAGACCTTCAGCCGTCAGTCTGAAGGTCTGGCTACGCGAGACTAACTGACATTAGAGAAGTTGAATATACACGAATGTGTTAAATTATTTCAATATTAACTTAAAAGAAAACATTTTAGGTCAAAATAATGTTTGCATAATATGTAATCATGTAATCCATTAAAAAGTAACTGTAAATTAATTATAAGCATTTTTAAAAGTAATGTAATCTAATTACAAGTACTTAATTTTTGGAATTTGATTGTGAAATCTGGGTTACATGTAATCAGTTACTACCCTGCACTGGCAATACCTAATTTTAAAATAAAAGCAAACAAAATTAAACGCTTATTAGATTAAATATTAGATATTGTATCTGCTTATTTGTAGGTCATGTGACCGTTAACCGACATCAGAGATCCGTAAAGCTGGAAATGTTCAAATTATTAAAATATCAGCATATTTTTTCGGCTGGCATGCAAGTTTTGGAACCCCTGCCTTACAAGTAGCATGGTTTGTTTGTTTGTTTGTTTTCTGACACAAGATGGCCCAAGAAAAGAAGCATCCTTCATGATTCATTCGAAATCAGAGAGACGTGATTCAGTCTTCAGTGTTTTTAGGACGTTTTTCCACACAAACTTGAATAAACCATGTGCAGAATTGCTATATATAGGGCATGGCAATGATGTAATCCTTCAGTGGAAGCCAGTGAAGTCCCCACCTCCAGAATCGTGCCTTCACATGACCTTACTGTAAAAGAGGAAGCACGAAGAATGCTTCATACCTGTTGGGATTCCAACTTGTGCTACTTTCTCATAACCTTCATCGGTTTCTGTTTATCTAGCTTTTGTCTACCCCTACTCTTTGTCTGTTGTGTCACAAATACTTATACTTACAAAATATTTTTATTATTATTATTTAAATTGTTTAGAAATATTTAATGTGTATAATAATAATAAGAAATATTATTATTATTATTACATTTTGTTGACTTATTATTAATTTGTGTTGTTTTATGTAAATGTATTTATTTTGTTTGTTTTTGTTATAATATTAATACTACTAATAATAATTATAATAACATTTTTATATTAATTATTCATAATATTATTCATTTGTATTATTTATATATTTTCTAAGGGTCATGCTGCCAAAATTGTGTTTAAGACATTTGTGTCGACATTTTAAATGTTAAAATACTTTTTAGAAATACTGTTTTGGAAGGGTTTTTTCATGAGAAACTATGTAAATATGTAGTAGCTCCATGCATGCATCTTTGTGTCTCTCCATAAATACCTCTGCACATCCATGCATGCATCCGTCTCTGCATGAATACATGAACCGTTATCGGTCTGAGCTGATCCATGCGAGTATGAGATGATGCATCTCTGTTTACGCACATCCTACAAAACTCTTCATACCAGTGTGTGTTGTTCAGCTGACAGCATGTGACATCCCTGAAAAATATTGCATATTTGGATGGGACGTAATCATCCTTGTGTTTTTGTGTCATCTAAACCTACATCTTTTTTTTGTCTCAGGTGCCGGAAGAAGACATAGTGAGCGTGACCGAGATGCTTCATGCTCAGAGGAAGGATATGTCCAGTTGAATGCATCGTCAGGTTGGAAAGGGTAGAAAAAGTCCTTAACGGTGGATGGTAGATCTTATTTGAGCCACTAACACACAGTATTACTCCACAAGACTGTCTTAGCATAACCAGAGGTGCTTCAGTCAAAGCATTTGAGAGCTTAGGCTTAAAACAGGCCTAAACTCAGAAAACTGTGGCGTTTTGCTTTTGCAGAAACAGCAGTGCTGATTATATGCCATTGCTGAGAATCAGAGTATTTACATGATTTGAAAGGACATTTTTGCGACATGTTAATGCTTGATTATTTGAAGCACTTTTTTTCTCCGTTGAATTAGAAGATGAGAGGACGTTATCAGTTTGGGACGTTTATTTCTTCATTTCAGGGGTAATGATAACACAGTATGTTCTGCAAAAATCATTATTTCTTTGAGTATTGCACACAGACGTCTTCCAGTATTGTCAGAATCAGTTTTTTTTTTTTTCTTAAGTAACCCTGTTTGAGGTCAAGCAAAATAAATGTTATTGTTGTAGCAACTTTTGGTGTCATTGAAACATTGCACTTAGAAAAGCAGTTACTGGCAGTAAATATTTTGTTCACTTTTGAATCAGCATTTCAAACATTTCTCGCAAATACCGGAGTCGTACTGTTATGCGTGATCTTTTCAAATCACATTTACACCTAGTTGTGTGAATCTCGAGAAAAACATATGCAGCTCACATTTCACCCCCAAAA